TCGTAATTTTGTGAAACTAATTTTCTTTAAATTTAAAAATGCGAAAATAGGAATCTTCGTATCATTTAGAACAGTTTTTTAAATGGAAGCACTTGTCTGCAACCACCGATTGCGAAAATAAACGCGGGTAAAGGTTTTTGAGGACACGACGATGTATATTTCTTTGAGTTTGTGGTATATTCTCAATTAAATCCATCATTGTTCTCAGAAAAAAGCAGAAGTTCTTGCGTATCTGTAAAGTTGTCAATGGCATTTACCAACAAGGAGAGCCTAAGCATCATTTCGCAGACGCTTCAGAGAAGATCGGCAACTCTTGCGCAAGAAACGCCAGAGAAAGTCAACGGCTGTCCGGTCTTTCACTTGCCTTCCAATTCGATTTCCTACTCACTTTCTTGGTTGCGAGAAGGAAAGAGTCTAGCGTTTGTCGACCTTGATCCACATTTCACATGCCCCACCCAAAGCATGCATTCATTCTTTTCGCACTTTTATTTTCTGTTGCGATTTCTATTTCAATACGACCTTCCATACGCACCTTCGATTAGTGATGCAAGGAATGTTTACTTTTGCATAATAGAATTCAGAGGGACTTCATTAACATAGAAGAACAACGGTCGTTATCTAATGCCAGGTTCGGCATATGTAGGCGCTGAAACTGGCTAATCTCTGTTATTAAGTAATGAAGGATCTGTATCTATCTATCTATCTATTTATCTATGTTCCTCTTATTGTGGGAAGATGTTGGCACCTAGAGCTACCCAGTTTTGAACACGCGTGGTCCTTCATCCGAACATATGCACCTCGAAGCTCGAATTTTGAATTAAAATATTTGTTATTTATTTCATATCTTTGACTAATTTAAAGAATTTTCGATTAACAAACTCGACTGTTTAAAAGCGGGCAAAGCATAACACATTTATGTTTCGGTTTCGTTTTAGTATCGATGTCACGCTTATAACCACTCATGTAGTTCCTAGAAATGGATTTAGGCAAAATTAAAATATGAAATATGATCTTAAAATGTAAGTGTTTCTACCATTTAAAAGCAAACGTTCAGTGGTTAAATGTATTTTAGTCTTTCTTCAGTGCCCACCAATAGCCGAATGAATCGTTAAGACTATTGAATACTGGTAGCTTGACACGGGTTTGAGCCCAGGTGAACATGGTGGCTGGACGGTTGGCTTTCGCGATTTTCCTCACGCGTACCGTAATAGCCAGTTTCCTTTAGACTGTCTTTCATGAAATCATCCCTTCCCTTATACAGATATTCCTAAATGAAATGAAAAGTGTAATAGATTTAACTGTCGCTTTAGTTGCTTTCGAGAATCGTTTGTCCACATAGAAAAATGTCCAAATGATATCAGTATGGCAAATTGCACTAGCGCTATATGCTGAAAAGGAGAGAAACCTTTCTAGAGGACTAAGGGAAAGTATGTCGTATTTATGTCGCATATGCGAAAACTACGAAAGTCAGCCATGAAGCCAACCCATTCACTGGGATCGAACTCGTGTGGAATTTTCAGTATTCAGTGCTCTTAACCGCACGGGGATTAGTAGAGCTTTACACAGAATGTACGGAAAAAAAGAAAAAAAAGTTTTTGTCTCGCGATTATCAGAAACAGATGTTTTGGGCTTATAGGAATCATGTGATAATCTGTCAGATAAAACTTTTTAAAGGTATTTTTACGTACTATTTATATTTTTTGAATTTATAAATTTATGTGAGTAGATCGTTCAGGAATATGTTTGAGAAACACACGCTGTACTTGTCTCTTTTATTTTTTTAGTCCAAAGGGACAATTTGCCCAAAAGGACTATTAATTTCCTTTTTAGCATTTTGTTCACTATAAAAGGCGTATCACTTTTCAATTTGTTGCCACCAAATGTTAGAGCCCTGCATTGGATTAAAAAAATTAAATAATGAAGAATCTGCATAAATGCATGTAAGTTTCTTGCATTGTGATAAAATAACGGTACCTAGAGCCATAAAATTTTGAATAACGTTCCACCCGAATATGAGCATCTGAAAGGCCAATTTTAGAATTTGTTTTATTATCTACTAGCAGTTACATTGCCAGCCTTTGTCTGGCTTTTAAATGTACCGTAAAAATGCCTGAAGGGAGCACCAAACGTTAAATTAAAAACTGCGCAGAATTTTACTCTGTAGAACAACTTCATTAAAAAAAAAAAAAAAAAAAAAAAAAAAAAAAAAAAAACAAATTAAAAAAAAGTATTACATATAACAAAATTACAATGAAATAAGCAATATCCTTTGACACAAATATTAATTATCCTAATAAATAAATTAACCAACTTCTCGTTGCCTTCTCTCACAAACTTTCAGTATCCAAGAGAAACATTAAATTTAAAAACTGCACACAATTATCTCCCTCATTTTCCCAAGTGGCAAAAGTGCTGATTTTCAACAGTCAGCATTCCAGTATACAATTGTATGAACAACTCTTGCCAAAACCACATTTCTGAAAGAATGAAACTATTCAAAATGATGCGATAAAATCGAAAAGATAAAATTTAAAACAAATCTGATTCGAATTTTAAAAAAAATCGCTTCAAGGTGCACTGGCTCTTGTCTAGATGCATCTATATACCAAATTTCGTAGCCCTCGGTCACGCGCAGCACGAAGGAAAGACTCTTTCTTTTACTATATGTAGAGATTTCATATTTTGTAAACCTTTAACGAATTTTTGATTAACAGACTTAACTATTTCAAAGCGAGCAATAGCAACATTGTACGAAAAAAAAAAAAAAAAAAAAAAAAAGAAACTCAATTTTATCTCCAACTTAGGAGACTGTGTATCAGAAATTCTAAAGATGTGCTCATTTTAAAATTATTTTGTGATATTACTGTTGAATTGAATTTTATGGTTTAAGTTCGAAGAACATGATATTTAATAAATAAAGGTAACGCACAAAAGTTTAGAAAACGCCAGTAGCTAGGGGAGCTGACTGTTATACCGAAATAGCCGGATTCGAATCCCTGAGAAGGCATGAATGTAAACTGTTTGTCCTCTTATAGAAGGTAACGGTGGACGCCTATTAGGTGCCTCCATTAGAAAATTACCACCAGCCTTAGTAGTGGCGAAAACCTGAAAACAGCTAATGCCCGCTATTTAAAAAGTTTCATTTTTTAAAAGAGTCTAGTATGTCTCAAAACCCTATATCATTTTACGTGAAATAACTGTCTGGACATTGATTAAATCTCCATTATTTTACGATACAGAATTTTAGCCTTTTCTTGGGAAGTGTCAAGGTCACCATACTTGCGCAACAAGATCACAACGCACATCATCATTTAGAGAACCAAAAGCGGGGAGAGGTATGTGAGTGATGGGCCTCACATAACCTTTAAAATAGCGGTCGCTGAAGGTCGATGAACCTTCACTTCATGTTAGTGAGATAGAATCCAAAAGTATACCTCAAAACCAACTTTAATTACAAATTATTGACAGTTGCTCACAGGATTTTGTTTCGAAATTTAGCTGGAGGGCTTCAAATGTATTATAAACTAAAACAAATATTTTGAGCATCCAAGGTCTATTTTTTCCAATTTGTTAGATCTGTAGTGCCATTATACAATAACTTATGTCTTGATTATCAATGGTTCCAAATTTACAGGGACAGATGCAGATGAATCGAATGTATATATTAGAAAGATATCATAAACACTGCAATTTCAATTTACTGAAGTTGTGATATACAATAAATAAATAAAATAAAAAATACAAGGTTCATATATTCAAGACGACAACTACGATAGCATTTTGTTCGGAAGTATGGAATTAAATTTTAGAAGCTTTACACGTGTTATTTAGAAGTGCAACATGGAGATAAAATTTTACGCGATTTGCAGCTTTATAAGTTGCCTGGTAGCATTAAACTCCTGTATTACCTCATGTTAAAAAAAACTTGTTATTCCCTGTTATATTGCGACATTTCATTTCTTTCACACGCTTTCGGTTTCTTGGTTTTCATGTTTTTTTAATGATTTCATTCATTTCCGGTTTATCTTCTCATTATCAACTTTCCTTCCATCACTGCTCATATCATAATTCAAAGAACAGCTTATGCAGTAAAATGTTAACTTTTCTTCGAAAAATTATGTTATTGATAGACACTTGTCAAGAACGTTGAAATGTGACTGTCATGTTCGCTAATGTATTTTAGCAAATCATACTGTTAACAACATCACATATTTATTGATTTCGCTAGATTTTGTAAATATCCATGATTCTAGTATTTTAGTCCTGGATAATTCTTCCCCATCAAATGAGTTGCTTCTCATAGTAGGCTGAATAGACGAATTAGTACACTTCATTTTGATTTCTACTATTCTTATTCTGCGCCAGTATTAATTTAAATATTATTTTGTTATTAATTGTTTTCATTATTATTGTAATTATTTGTTTGCGTTTAAATAAATAATACTACAAATTGCATTTTAAAATCTCCAAATTATGGCCTAGCGCATTCGAAATGTTATCACTTAAAATTTCAAAAACTTTTAAAGTATATTTACAAAAATTTTTAAAGTATAAAATTATAAGATTAAAACTAAATTATAATTTGATGTTGATACGTAGATTTTCTTTTAACAGTTTTAAGTTAAGCTGTTACGATAGGCCTATTAGTTTAAGAATTCGACTCCAGAAATTAAAGACATAGAATATAAAATCTAATATTTAAATTAACTGTTCAAATAGGCAAAAGCAATCGAACAAATTTAATTAGAAATCAAAAACTAAAAACAGTTGGGAAAATTCTTTGAGCGCATGTTAATGTCTAAAACAATTCGCCACATTTTTAAAAATATATAATTTGAAATTTAGATGAAATAGTATGATCATTTTCTGTTCTGAGATATATAATTTTCAACGATGTATTAGAAATGCTTTGAAAATAAATAGGTTTATTTGTAAAAAGCATAACATAGTGCTCGGAACTATTAGCTTTCAGTCTAATAAAATTCTGTTTCTTTTTGTAGGCTTGAAATGCTGCGAAAAGCGATGGTTGACCCTCACGCACCTGATGAATGGACACGGTATTAGAGAGGTGAGTTTGTTTTGTAGTATCACTAGTATTTTACTTTGAAATTCTTTTATATATTTTATTGTTGTCTAGGGTAATTTATATATTACGGTAAACTTTTAATTCTGCCAAGATGTCGCCAAGTTTAAGTGTTAGTTATCGTGTGTGTTTAAGTGTAGAACGTTGTCGTTGGCGAAGAAAGATATTGTTATAAATTTTTCAAAACTACGTGACAACAACAGAGTATTAAAAGCGTTTTACAGAATTGCAAAGTAATAATTCTAAAAAACTATTTAATTGTAAAAGATCTGTTGCAAAATTAATTTTGATTTTACGTCTAATTTTATGCTTACATTTAAATTTTACACTGGCATGTTTCTCTTCTAATTTCATAGTCTGCAAATCACGATTTTTTTCTTAAAAAAGCAATAGGAACGACTTACAAGTTGGAGTTGTTTTATATATATATATAGAGAGAGAGAGAAGGCTTGCATAGAAATTTTTATTTCTCAGATTTGCACCAAACGACGTGTATCTAGAGGTCAAAATTGCCGTTATCTAAAAGCGTATATAAAAGCCTAAAATACTTTATATTAATTACCCATTTTTAGAATTTGGATCTTTACTATAACTTTTCCTTTTCATTAACCCTCATCAAGATGCAGATGAATTTACATACTATTTAAGGCGAGGGTTTTATATGTTTTAGAGATAGAGCTTCTGACAGCAACTCTCGCAGCTTTACTTTCTAACGCTTGCTCTACCTGTTAATATTCCGGTATGGGCAATTTTCTAGCTAAAGTTCAATAGCATCATTAAAGCTTGAGCCAGCTTAGCTAGAAGTTTGACATAGCTACAAATAAATTTTCAGGTTACAAATAAATTTTAAATTGCATTTTTAGTTTTCTGATTGATACCCGCAAGTGGCAGAGTTTGACTGTACGCACAAGTTGTGCTTTCTATTAAATTGAAATTTAATAAAAAGCTTATTTAAAACTTTCATAAGCCTATATCGTATTTGCACAGACGAAGTGATAACTTGCTTGGCAGTCTCATAGGGTCTCAAGGACATTTTAAATAATTTTATACAGTTAGGATCCTAGAAGCCTACTTATTAAGTTCATTTCTGAAGCAAACTAATAATTTTGGAATCAGTCGTTCAAGAGATATTTAAAATTACAGTGTAAATAATTATAAAATTTCTTACTATTTACTTATTAAGAAGTTGGATCTAATTTTTTGATAACTTGTTAAAACAAAGAGACCCTGCAGCTAAACTGTAGTTAATCCAAACGAAAAATGTTTTTCAGGACTTTTATATTCCTATATATATCGGTATCTTCCTTCTTGGTATTCTCTTTTCCTAGTCAAAAGAGTGTTTTCATAATTGCGCCAATTGATTATAGAAAATTAAAAGAGTTTAAAATTGTTATAAGAAGATCTCATTTACGTTTCCATATCCTTCTGGTCTTTAGCGAAAATGACCGCTTCAGAGAGCATGGGTGTCTTTATTGAATTTTCGTTATCGTTATTCAAATAATATTTATTTCTGAAATAAGAGTTACGTTTAGAGGCGGTGAGAAATTTCATTCTAATATATTCAGTGAATGAATAATATATAATATTATACAACAAATTATTGTTTGGATCTGACTTCTCTAAGATCCTGACAGGGATGCTGCAGACATTAAGAGTAATTAAATTCAAAATTTGATATAATTATTTGATAATTATTTAACCTTCTGCTTTCAAAATTAGCTTTAGAAAAACATAGTACAAATAAATTTATCAGTAAAAGAGTTTCAACAGTTAGATGTTAAATGTTTTAATTGAGTACATGAAACAAAACCTGTATAGAATTTATTTCATTTATTAGTAGTCAAATATCGTAATATAATTTATCCATATTTCCAAAACATTTTGGCCTTCTATGAAGATGCTTGGTTTAGATAGAAGGACTATAAGAATTCCTTCTTTCTTTATCAATGCTTAGTGGTATTATTTTCAGAAACACTTTTCGTTTACAGAAATGGTCATCATAGGGCGGTGATCACTGTAAGAGGTTTTAATATGTTGTTACATTATTTCTGTAACAAGATGGTGAAGAGGTAGAATGAACTATTAGCTAAATTCAAAATGTTAGAACTCGTAAATAGTTAATAACTAGAAGGAAGGAAATATGCTTTGTACGCGAAAAAGATTTAAGTAGTTTCACGAAATTTTCTACTTAGAAGCAAGTGGGAAATCTGTTTAATGTGCCGCGAATTGATCTCGGCCGCGAAAAACTCCTGAGACGGAAATGCATGTTCGTAACACAAAGGCGTGCACTTTGAAATAAATTCGCATAAAAAAGAGACTTGCAAATAAAAAATTCAAATTGGAAATGACTACTTACACTTAAAAGGTTGTGCGAATCGTTGAGGCGTAAGGTTCCCTTTCCTATTGTTCTAGACACTGAACTCGCCTCTCGAAATTTCTCAAAAGCTTTGAATCAAATTTATTACTAGCTTTGAGAAATTCTTGGGCGCTCATTACTAATCCTCCTACATACTTTACTTAGCTGTATACTTTTAACTTCAAAATATAATCGAATCAAAGAAGCCATTAGCGTAAAATTTCTATCGATAAATAATACAAAATGATATTTCTTTTAAAATGTGAACAATTATGATTTTTAAAATTTGTTTATAAAGAACGCTTTTTGTAATTATTGAATTTGCCGATTAAAATGAATTTCATTCAGCCGCTTAAAATTATTTTATTTCAGAAATTTAATTATGGTATTATTTACTTATTTACTTTTGAGATTTAATTGTATTGTTACGATTATTATTCATTAGAAAAACATAAATTACACTTTTCATACAATATCACAATATGGATAAAATATATTATAACAATTTTTTTTGCATCCGAAAATAAATCAGAAATTTTTAAGAAAAGAATCACAAAAAGATAAGTTAAATTATTTGAATATGGTAAAATATATGAGGGCTATAAACATAAGAGAAATGATCTCCTCGTGGAGGACGTGCTAATGAAAACTGGTTCGTATTCACTTTACACGTAGGTAAACCCACAAAAACCAGCCAAGCAATCAGCACGTATATCTGAATCAAATTAAGACACATTTCTTGTATTCAGCTCTCTGCACCATTCGACCATTAGTAAGGCTAAATAAAAAAAAGAGAATGAGCTAACTAATGAACAATAAAATATGACTTCAGCATTGAGCTGCAGCGAAAGACACAAAATCCTAACCACGAGCTTAAAATCAGATATCACAGTTTAATTAATAATAAAGGCCGTTTACAAATTCCTCTGATGAAGAACAGCAGTTGCAGATACATTTAGCTCATAATGTAGATTATATATTTGTTCTCTGAAATTGTTTTGCATATAATAACTGAATTTACCATTTCTTAACAGTCAACATTTATTTTTTTATAATGCGATGTATTGCCTTCTTGATTTCTAATTTTCTTTTGCTCTTTTCGCGTTCGTGATCTTCCCAAGTCCCTAGAATGGAAGATGCTGGCAGTTGGGACCTTAGCACCATCAGGGAGGAGGATTTCGACCAACTGGCAGTGTATCTTGTAAGAGATCAACCATGTGAGGAAGATTGTCTGAACCGGGCAGAGGCCAGCTTGCCCAGGAACCTCATCCTCAAGGCCTCACCATCCCTAGGAGGCGATGTAAGTACCATAAATCTTTCAAAAGCTATGAATGTTGTCTTCGTAGTACAAGACCAAATATTATATAACAATAGCAGCTGTTTTATGCAAAGAAAACTCATTAGCAGAAAGGTATATGCAGGCAAAATAATTCGATTATTTACTCTTTTAGTAACTTTTGCTGTTTTTAACATTGAAGGAAACTTTTATTACAAGCGATCGTATGCATTCTATATGACATGTACACCACGTCCACTTTAAAATTTGCGATTTTTGACGTCATATTCAATTTTTATTTTAGGATCAATCATTAAATAAATTAGAATAATTCGAGATTGATTTCTTCCTTTTAAATTCAGAGATATTCTTCTGTTATTTAATTTAAATTATGTAAATTATTTCGCTGTTGTGTGATTTATAATGTTGTTACAATGGCTATGCTGAAATAAATTTCATACAAGTAATTTATAATTTTACGAACGCTAAAATTGCTTTATTGATATTCCCGTAAATTTTTTATTACTTTAGAATCATATTCTAATAATCGTAGAAAAAGTCCATTAAATTAAAAAAAACTTTTGATTTCAATTTATGCAAATACTTTTACGAGCTGGTTATGATCCATAACTGCCAATACTGAACAACTGAAATCTGTCAATATTTTCTAGAACACGAAATCTAGGAAATAACTTCAATTATACCTGAAAAAATTTATATTGATTCATACTTTTCATAACAACTGCGTAAAAATGCTCGTGACACAATCTGTTAAAATCAGAAACATTTTTATAAGCTGATATTTTAATTTTAGATATGTACAATTGCGCAGATTTCAATGTTGAGCTTTTCTACGGTTCCTGAATATGATCTCCAAATTTAAAATTAACTATCACAGCCAATTTTTATCGAACACAAATCATAATTTCTTCTTTGTATTTCATAATGAGTTTAAATTTTTCCTAAATATAGGTATAACGACCAGAAAAACATATAAAAAGTTGGATTTCGTAATTTTTATAAAAAGGAGATTTTAGACTTAAAAATGCCCAAACATGAATACTGCGTCATTTGAAACATTTTCTGTGAATGGAAGTATATGTCTACGACCAATGGCCGCTAAAATAAAATCCGTGTAAAGACTTTCGTGGGCAAGGTTTATGTCTACTCAACTCCAGGACAAAAGAAATTAACAGTTCTCAACTTTTGTGAACAATACTTTTGATTGATTGCTTGCTTTTATCATAAATTATATATTTAATTCAAAAGAATAAAACTGTTAAAAACATAATTTATAGAATTGGGAATGATTGTTTTCATGATATCATAAATATTACTTATTGTCGTCATTCACTACGCTGGAAACATTTTTTTAGCTCTTCCCCTAGTCTATTCTTCGAAGTTCTGAATTTAAGACAAATTTAGTATGAAAAAATGCAGTCAGTTAGTAAGCGCTTTCTTGAATATCTTTGAAATGTCTATGTATTAATGTTAATATTTTTTGATAAAGTATGGACTTACTTTATTTATCTCATTAAATATTATCATTTTGCTGATATCAGCTGAACAAGAACCATATTAGTATTTTTCATAAAGTTATCTACCCAACTTTGAAAAGTTTCCTTTGTACTGGAAGTATGTATTTGGTATTAAGAGTTAAGTAATTAAAATTCGTAATAAATTTCTTTGAATAACCTGTAGAACATCTGTGAATTTTGTTCTACGATTCTTTGGATATTAAAAGCACATGTTTTAAAAACAAAATTTTGAAAATATTGGATTTGGAATATAATGGAAGTGTAATAGCAGGAAATGTAGGTAAATTAATAATGGGCAACAATTGGAAAAGTGATATAGTCGCTTATAGTTATTCGACACAAAATGCCGTTTCGAGACTAATAGCCGTTCTGGGATAATAAAAAAAAAGGAAAATAAAGATAGTGCAACCTTTTTAGCAGGAAAATTGAAATTTTCCCGTTAATTTTATTATCATTTTAATGAACCTTATTTTATGCAATAAAATAATTACCCATGTCCAAGACAGAAATGTTCATCCAGAATTTCTGATGAATTCCCTGTATACGGTATCTAAGTCTCATTTATAACTTCACAGCTCTATTTTTGGATTACCTGTATCTTTTCCTGTAATTAGTGGATTCTCGCACGATTAGTGGAATAGCACGATTAATAAGAAGTTTACTTCAGAGCTACATATTCAGAACTTTCTGAGCGTTCTTTGATACTGAATATAGCCTACCAAATAAAGTCAAATAATATATTTAAGCTAAAATAACATTAATATATAGTAAAAGCAAGAACGATATGTGATATAAGTACAGTCTATACAAAGGAGGATTAATGTCCACTTATTGTTGTTTTCTTTAATCAGAATTAGCCGATTGTAAATATACTGGAGTGCTGAAAAGCAGTAATGATGGGGAAGGCTGATACATAATGAAGAATTTGTGTTAGTGGCAAATAATAGAGTTCTGGCGTACATGAGAAACAGAGGAAGAGAGTCATGTGTTAACTTTTCATCGTTTTCTAAATCCATCGTGCATGAAGGTAATTAATGCCTGTTTCAACAATATCTGCTTGTCTTCCTTAATGTTGACTCTCGAAGCTCATCGCCTTTTGTTACTAATGGGAAAGGCTTGAAGAGGAGAGTAATAAGAGAAAGAAGAAGAGGTTTGTTCATCTTTAGGGGGCATTTCATTGTCGACTGAATTTATCAGGCATGTTGATCATTAATGTTTGCATTTTTTGTGTTTGCCTATCTTGATACTAATTGCTGCTCAGACGGTACAGTCGTTAGGGGAGCCGACAGCGATTGCGAAACGCGCGGTTTCGAATCCCGGAGAAGCCATGAATGTAAAAATTGTCTGTCTCCCACAGAAGGTAACGGTGGCCGCCTATTAGGCGCCTCCATAATTAAATGTCCACCACTTCTGGCCTTAGTAATGGCGAAAGCCTAAAAGTGGCTCGTGTCCGCCATTTGAAAAAAAATCGTGTTATTGATTTTCAAAATTCAGCGCTTTTTATTACGAATGCCGAATGCTTGAAGTACGAGAGTACAAAATTTTTGCGTATTGGATAAATTGGCAGAAATTCAATTTTTGGCACCGTATCATTATTTGAAGGCATGCTGATCACTAAACTCTGCATCTTCTATATCTTTCTACTTTGATGCAGATTTTCGAAAGTGATGGGTTTTATCAGTAATGCAGAAAATTTGAAGCATGAGAGTACAGAACACTAGCAAATCGCAAATCGAAGAGAATGGAAGAGGTTTAATCATCTGTGGACATCTTAAAGTCAGTTGAATTCATCAGCCATGTTGTTCACTAATATCCGCATCTTCTGTGGCTGTTTACCTCAAAGGTATTTATTTATCGAGATTCATCGCTTGGGGTCATTCATTCAGAAGCCTTAAAGTCATGGAAAGTAAACCCTCACCCAAACTATTGCCAACCAGTTTTTGTAAGCACTCTAAATATTTTCCAAATCTGGACTATTCAATGCACCAGTCCAAATTTAAACGATGAAAGGTTGTTTTTGTTTTTCATCTTATTTCTTTTATTGTTAAAAAACGGGCATTCCTCTTTATATTTCATTCATTTAATTGTTATTTCACTCATTAATCAATTCATAAAATACGTTAATGTACATCTTTTAGAAAAGCAAATTTGCATAAAGAGTGGATATATGCAACAGTTAGTGAATAATTTTGCGGTAGAATGATTGCTATTCTTAATAATGCTGTCAGAAAATAAAATTTTCATTCTATTCAAAAGTTACTTTTTTTAATTATCGTACAGAATTTTTATTCTTATAGTAGAACTCAAAAAATAACCCAGAGAAAACAATGTTCATTTTCAAAATATATCACATTCAGATCGTAACAAATTAATTCATTAAATAAATAAATAAACAGTTCAATGAAACGCATTGTATTTCATCGAAGTGCGGTTCTTCAACTCTAAAGAAGACAAGCGGCGACAAAAACAATGAACGAAATGAATAAAAATCCCTTCGGAAAGCATAAAACTAATTTGAGGATTTGTGAGTCGAAAGTCATCTAATTGGCATCAAATTAAATTCTTTCCCTAGAGTCTATTTTCAAAATGTCATTTAATTTTCTTTTGCGAGGCGACTGAGCATTTTCGCTTTTCAGAGAAGATTAAATCTTTATTCGTGTTTTTGCAACCATTCAATTACTTATTATGTTTTGATACCCCCTCTCGGGGAAAGAGATTTTCTTTTATTCCACATTTAGGCCTAACGGTAAAGGTTACCACAAACGGCGATTTATGTCATATAATGGTACGATATTGCTTTTGCTGATGAAACTCGCGAACGAAATAATTTATTTGTTTTTTATTATTTTAAATTGCCTGGCTTTTACACTCATGTCCATAAATTAAGGATAATGCAAAATCAGGCAAAGGAAGAGTTAGAAGCGAAACAAATTTGACTTATTTGTAAAGCTTATTTATTAAACCAAAGGTAAAGAGCAAAAAAAGATGCTATATGTTTGATATTATTAAAACAATTAGCAATTTTTTCTCCCCGGAGCAAATTACAAAAAAAAACCTATTTACAAAAAAACAATATTACATGGTTGGTATGATTGTTAATACATTGTACGTCTCCCAGACGATGCAATACAGTTCGTACAACGCCTAGGCATGCTGAGTATCAAATTATCGATCTGATCTTGGGGGGATATTACACCACTCAAAAAGCAATGCTCTCCGAAGTTCCGGTAGACATGTAGGAGAAGGTTGACGGGCTGCAACTCGTCGGCCAAGCATGTGCCACACGTGCTCTACTGGGTTCAAGTCCGGTGAGAATGCTGGCCAGTCCATACGGGTGATATCCTCCGATTGAAGGCATTCGCTTACGATGTTTGCACGGTGAGGACGGGCGTTGTCATCCATAAACACAAATTGTGAGCCCATGGCGCCCCGAAACAAACGTACATGTTGTTCCAGAATGACGTCCCGATAGATTTGGCTTGTCAT